CGAGTCCACTCTGCAGCTCTGGAACACCCTTGTTCCCTAAAGGAGAACGAGTAACCCCAGCTCTTGGAGGACCCCACCTCTCAGGGGATGCTTCCCTGCTCTTTCTTTTTGAGAAGGGGAATAAACAGGCTCCAGGGGTCCACCTCCATCACCCTCCCACGAAGCAGACCCAGGACACTCGGCAACTCTCCCTGGACCCCGAAGGCCTCTGGTGGCTCAGAGGCAGGGACACAACCTCCTTTTGCTTTCTGCCACGGTCGGTGGCATCTCTCCCACATGTGGGGGCACGTGGGGGCTGAAGGAACACAGACGTCTGCTTCGCCAGGGAGCTACACACCAGCTGCAGGAAGCCAGGCTCGCTCCTGTTTCACCCAGTTACCATTTCGGCAGCATCTGACCAGGGCCCTCAGGGACACCCTGTGACTCTAAGAGATGAGACAAGGATTGCGCAGGAAATCAGTGACAGGGACAAACATGGATGAGAGCGGGAGGGGTGGTGAAGTCCTGGATGACAGCTGCAAAGGACTTCCCCGGGATGCCGCACCCACAATGGACCACACAGGGGTAGGCTTTAGAAGTACAGAGCCGGGCACAGGAAGGACAAGGAGAAGAAAAGGGAGACGGTGAGCAGGAGGGTAGCCCCAGGCGGGACCACTCCGCATTGTACTTGCTAGTGACTGCTCCACGCCATACTTCCTCACGATCACTTTCCACCGTACTTCCTGATGACCGCTCCACGCCGTACTTCCTGGTGACCACCAAGGAATACTTCACTTCTAATACTGCACCCCGTGCAATGCCGTGCTTCCCCACAGCCCGGCTCAGGAAGTGCTCCGTCAGAATTTGCTGCACTGGTGGGCTCTGTTCAACACCTGGCACTTGGCCACACTCTCAGTATCGCTGCCAGAGGGAGGGCACAGTGGGGAGACCTGAGGCCGTGCAGAGCCTGGCAGAAGACGGAGAGATCCCCCTAGAGGAGCCCACTTCTAAAAGGCAGACAAAGGCAAGTATGAGTGCCGCCGAGATTCCTTGGGGAGTGGACGTCCCCACGGACCGCTGCAGGTATGATACTTGCTGCCCTTTGTCATACCACCTCCCCGCTCTGCTCCCGAACACGAGCCCACCAAGTCCGAGTCCACTCTGCAGCTCTGGAACACCCTTGTTCCCTAAAGGAGAACGAGTAACCCCAGCTCTTGGAGGACCCCACCTCTCAGGGGATGCTTCCCTGCTCTTTCTTTTTGAGAAGGGGAATAAACAGGCTCCAGGGGTCCACCTCCATCACCCTCCCACGAAGCAGACCCAGGACACTCGGCAACTCTCCCTGGACCCCGAAGGCCTCTGGTGGCTCAGAGGCAGGGACACAACCTCCTTTTGCTTTCTGCCACGGTCGGTGGCATCTCTCCCACATGTGGGGGCACGTGGGGGCTGAAGGAACACAGACGTCTGCTTCGCCAGGGAGCTACACACCAGCTGCAGGAAGCCAGGCTCGCTCCTGTTTCACCCAGTTACCATTTCGGCAGCATCTGACCAGGGCCCTCAGGGACACCCTGTGACTCTAAGAGATGAGACAAGGATTGCGCAGGAAATCAGTGACAGGGACAAACATGGATGAGAGCGGGAGGGGTGGTGAAGTCCTGGATGACAGCTGCAAAGGACTTCCCCGGGATGCCGCACCCACAATGGACCACACAGGGGTAGGCTTTAGAAGTACAGAGCCGGGCACAGGAAGGACAAGGAGAAGAAAAGGGAGACGGTGAGCAGGAGGGTAGCCACAGCAGGGACAGAGCCCAGAGGCAGAGCTCTAGTCCAGGGGAACAGTCTAGCGTGAGCATGGGGACAGAGGAAGGCGTGACGGCAGGTCCACACCAGGCCACGCCAGGTCCTGGGGCCATGGGCCTGCACCACGGTTGCTGGGTGCTTTGGAAACAATTGAAATGTCATGACCAAGGTGAAGGAAGACTGTAAACCTCGCGTTTTTGCTTAAGGAATTTTGAATACACACGATGAGGAACTCTAACTCACAAGGTCAATGTCCCATCTGCTGACAGCAAGCCCAAGTCAGATTCCTGTTTGGAGGGCCAATGGGAGAGGGTGCTGAGTGGATCTAAAACCAGAAGGCTCCTGTCAGAAATCGGACTTTCTAAGCAGACATATCTGGCTCTCACTAACCAAACAAGCCATGAGAGGCGAAGAGCTTCACACAACGGGCATTCCGTATCTCAAGTTGGGCATGGCTATCACTATGCAAATGGACGGCTTCCATAGCTTGCAAATGCATGCCAACTTCGTGTGAAGCCCAGTCACTGTCACGCTCCCTCAGGAGGGACCAAGCACCTGGCCCACTTTCTGTTACTTGATACTAGACACACTTAGCTAATTTTTGTGACCCCTGCGTCTGGCCTTGGACACTGCTCGCTTATTCTAACACATTGTTTAGAAGATCAGTCTTGCTGACGTGTCTGCAGCCTGGCATGTCTTGGGGAAGGCCTTCCCCCACAGAGCAGCAAATGCCCTGTGGACTTCTGTTGAATTCCAGGGACTGAGAGCCCCCCAGTTGGAGTCCTGCCTCTACCTCCATGGCCCCAGGGCCCACCGCACGTCCTCTGCAGGATGGAGGACTGGAGTGCTCCATCTGTAAGCCAAGAATGCCAATGGCTACTGGCCAGTCCCAGGAGTTGGGAGTGACAAGAAAGGAGCCCCCTACCATTGTCAGAGAGTACAGCCCTGCTGTCGCCCTGATCCCAGACTCTGGCCTCCAGAGTTGAGATTGCACGTCCACGGTGCTGAGCCATCAGACTGTGGTCCTGCTCCAGCAGTGAGTGGGGTTATTCAGGGAAGGACAGTGAGTGCTGAGCAGAAAGTGCCCAGGGGTGGGGAAAGGCCCCAGCTCTCTAGACCACAGGGTGGCAAACCATGGTGCTTAGGCCAAAGCCAGCCCACAACCTACGCACTCTGTCTTTCCCTCACAGCTGTATTAAGATAGAATTCCCACATCATGCACATCGCCTACTGGAAGTGCCCAGTTCAGTGGTTTTCAATGAACTCCATGAGTTATGCACCAACACCACGCTTGGTCCCAATGCCTGCTGGCGTAAAAGGGCGTCACTGGAACGCAGCTGCCAGTCATTTGCTGATGTGCTGTTGCTGGTTGCTTTGTGCCAACAGGCAGAGTTGGCAATAACAGATCTTAAGGCCTGTGAGGACGAGGATATTTTCAACTGCCCTTTCCACACAGGGACTGTCATCTCTGCTGGACACTCTGAGCTGTGCTGTGATCCGTAGTTAGGATTCCAAAGGAAGGCAGAACAAGGGCTTAGACATCAGCTTGCTCTATCAGAGCTCCTGGGCTAGACAGAAGGGACAGGGGGTCCCTAATGTCATTAACACTGAGGGGAAGTGAGACCTTTAACGTGGGTGGACACCATCCAATCGGCTAGAAGCACAGAAAGGAAAACCAGCGGAAGTGGAAGGTCTATTTCCATTTTTTCTCTCTCTCTCCATGTGCCTGTGGATCTGCTAGCTTTTTTGGCTATGACACCTAGCCTGAGGCCAGCCAGACGCTGGGTCCATGCCTTCAGGATTCCTAGCCATCAGAATCATGAGCCAAATAAACCTCTATTGGTTACAAATCACCCAGTCTGGGTATTTGTTTAGGAACACAGCAGTGGGCTGAGACATGTAGTCAGTACCTAGGTGGATGGCTCTACATTTTTAGACAACTGTCTTAAGAGGTGGTTTCTTTACCCTTTATTCCAAGGGGTGGGGGAGGGGGGAAGACACATACCCAACAGAGTCTTGATGCTCCAATCAACCCCCAGTCTCAGCCAGCCCAGATGATGGGCATGTACATGCCTGGTGTCCTCAGGGAGGTCTCCAGACACGAACCAGGAACTTCCTCAGAGGGCCAGCCCTGAAGAGCCTTGCACGTCACCACTGCACAACCATTCAGCCTCCTGGGTTTCTGTCTTAGGGGTGGGAATGACACCTGCCTCAGAGGCTTTGGTGGGAGGTGCTGAGTGAGTAATGGACTGGAGTCTTTTCAGCCCCACTAGGCAGACTTGACCAGTCTTCTAGCACATCCTCTCATGGGCTTCCCATTTTGCCCAGAATGAAACTCAAATGTCTTACCAGGGCCTGCGGAGCCCCACAGCATTTGACTCCATGTGATCTCCGACCATCTCCCCTCAGCCTTTCTCTTGTCCATGTGAGCCTTTGCTCCAAGGCTCAAGCTCACCCCCTTGTCCCTTCTGTCCTGCCCCACACAGTCCCACAGTAATCTCCTGGTCCTTGAGCACTCAGCCATGGACCCCATGTCCAGTGGCCCTTCTGACCACCCAACCTAGAAGGCCCCTTTCCTATCACATCACTCCGATTTACATTATGCGTATGCCTGCTGGTCTGTAATTTCTGTCCCTAAGTAGAATGTAGGTGTCACAGAACGACAGTTCTGTCTTATGTACTGGCATGTTTCCTTCCCCTGGGTATATTAATATCAACAGTACCTGGTACACGTGAGGTGACTGACACGTTGAACATATGAATAACATGAACACGAGGGCCTGTAGAAATGCAAAGGCTGCCAGATGTGACCACAGGTATCTCCCATCCCTTCCCTGTGTCTTTCCAGGCACGCCCTCGCTGACCTCAGCCTCCTCTGCAGAAGCTGTTCCTTAGGGCTAAGCAAGGACTCCTCAACTTTGCCGGCAGACCATCGCCTAGGCCATGAGTACTGTGCGAGTTTCTCAAGGACGGTGATGACACTGTGCTGAATGTTCTGCATATTCACTCACTCTGGCCAGAGCTACTGCAGGCATCAGCTCAGACCAGCGAAAATCCCAGCAGGAACCGCACTTACTAGCTGTTTTCTTACACAGCGCATCTTCAACCTGTGGGCATGTCTTCTAGAAGTCACATATACACACACTCACACTCACACACAGACGTACGAACACATTTTCCCTCTGCTGAAATCGGCAGAATCCAGGTGAGTCACCTCCTACCTGTGTCCGGTGCCAGATCACAGATGCCCGGGAGTGGCCCAGCTTGTTCCGGCAGGGTCCCTTATCGTAATGTATCAGCAGAAAATCGTCCTGTGAAGGCAGAGAAACCAGGAGTGAAGGGCACTTCT